TGTTGGGTAGGCATATAATGTTGGGGAGTTCAGCCGCAAAGATCTGCTCTGAGCTCTAGGTTTCATTCACGACTGGGTTTTCGCAAGGTCTTCCAGACTGGAAGCTGGCTCAAGTGACAGGCTTCTCTGCTTTCATGCGCCATACAATACTTAAGCTAAGCGGCTTTACTTGTGCTTTCAAGGCTGAAGCCCTTTCTGATGAGATCATCTGTTTCAATCTTGGCCCTTTGTTTGTTTCCGAGTCGCTCTTCGCTTTGCTAGCACATTTCCAGAATTTGGCCATTTTCCTGCACCTAGCTGCTCTCACTCTTTTTAAGTTCTAACATTCAAATTACAATCGCTATCAAACATCCCCTCGTCCTACGTCAGTGGACCCCGATCATTTCGGAATATTATATGGACAATCTCCTCTGATAACGAAGATCTCCACATCATCAAACATCCCCCCACGGTCTGTAAATTGCGCCTGGCTTATCAGCTCGTCTGATTGTTGCATTTAAGAGCTTCCGGTGAACAGTGCACGCAAGATCCAATTGCAAATTATCCACTTTGACCCGTTTCAAAATTTCGGTCAAGCATTCCTTCCGCGCAGGCTTTGCAGTGTGCGTTTCAGCATTGGCCGATCCTGGCGCATTTCTTTTACTGTGGAATCGGAACCATGTAGATTAAGATACAGCCAAGAGACTTGACCATGGGTCAGTGAGGCGCGATTGCTTTAAGTAGATCTGAGTCCTCCTTGTTCTAGTAGATTTTTTGCGCCATTCTGGAAGTCAGTACACGATCTTTTGGCCTCGCCCTCCCCTGGACTCTGGAAGCCAGCTCAACTGCACACTGGACCATTGACTGCGTCGTGCAACCTGTCATTCATTTTGAACCTTCCTTTTTTGGTGCAGAAAAACTGGTCAGATCCCGTACATCTAGACTCGACGTCGAATCACATCATCATGCGTTTGGAATATGGGCACAAGGCTGCATCTTGGCCGACAAGACGAACACAACGGTGCCTCAGCTTCGCCCTCATTTTCACGTATTTGCTCCCTCGCCTCCAGTGAAACTCCCGCTCACATTCTCAGAATAATTATAATCGTCGGCATATACGAACACCAATCATGGCCACGAAAAGCGGAACTGCAACTGAACACCAGGAGGGGATTTCACATTTATGGATCGTCACCCGAGGCAGGCTCGCCGTCATTACCCTTCATAGACAACAACGCGCGCAAGTCTAGCGGAGAGCCCTTGTTCGAAGTACCCTACGACCAGTGAAAGAAAACCAGCCAATTATCAACATGCAATCTGGAAGCGAAGGGAGAAGTAGTTGATTAGACGACATTGAGAATTTCGATTGGGGATTTATTAGGGCGGGTTGGATGGCACAGGCGTTTTGGATGCGGCATGGTCCGCTGCTATTCGCGGATGCCCAGAAACTCGGGATGAATGATCGGGTCGATGATATTTCCATTGGTGGATCTAAGGAAATGCAGAGGACGTGGGTGATGAAAGACTGCAACAGATACGTTGTGGAACCTCGTAAAGACAGGAGGCTTGGTGTGCAGCAGCGGGTGGGCAGGCAGGACCACGAGTTTCGAGTTGGTCGAGGGCGACAGCCTGCATGGAAGCTGCACGGAAGCGGCATAGATGCGATCTATCTGATATCTCATTTGAGATCTTAAGGATATGCTCGCGGAGTGTGGGGGATGCGATGCGTTGTTCTGCAGCCTTGTTCACCCACACGTTGTTGGTTGAGGTGCAGATGAGTGCCGTGGGCTTATATATAGAGTGGCAGCACTGCAAAACGCAAAATTCAAGCTTAACCCAAGGGAGGCTCTCACACATTCTTTTCACATGCCTGACATCATACTGCCAATGGCCTTGCAAGTAGCAAGCAACATGCTGAAACAGCATGGCTGGTTGGCTTTTCCGTCACCACACCTAATCAGAGTGCCGTAGCTAATCGGGAAGAGACCTAGCCTTCCCGTGAGTTTATACTCTTCCTATTCTGGCTCGACGCTTTCCTGGTGACCACCGATAAGCGAATGATGTCTCCTCAGGACCTCATTCACTCGGACTGTTCATGCAAGTATTTCTATTCTGATCAGACCTCACTGGGGAAAACTCGCAGAGTCACATTTCTCGAAAGGCAATCAAAGGATGGCGCCTCTCCCCCACGATGTCTGTCTGCCCTCGTGGCATCGAAGCTTTGCTAATGATTCTATAAATGGAGTATTTGGTTCAAGGATGGTACACACGGACGGCATCAGGCAACCATGCATTGTGAAGGACGGCAGACTCAGAGCCACGTGGAGTACACGAGGTATATGTTCCCCAATCTGGGCATGGCGTGTAGTTCACCATGGACTCCTAAGATATTCAGAGAAGAATGAGGTACGCTGTCGTCTCAAGGAGGTGCATGATCTAATGTCCGTAACAATAGACTTGCAAGCTCAGACGCAAGTGAATGCCGCCTTGAGGGATGCAATTGTGTAGCATTCGCAGGGAGGGTGTGCCTCGAGTGAGGTTATAGAAACGGACACTGGGAAGTGCCGGACTTGCACTACAAGCAGTTGTCGAGTGCCTTCCTGGGCTCACGGGAGATGGAAAAGCCCTTGAACGACGAAGCAAACCCGTCCAGACTGTTGCTGGGTTGCTTACATTCCCGGTGTTGATGTTTGTGCACACCTACCCTCGGCCCATGCGCAACAGTTCTTCTCCATGCACCTTTCCTGCGTCGAGTGACGAGTGACGAGTGACAGCGCCCTGAATCTCTAAACATAGTGTAAGCTCCAAGGGTCTGGGCTTTGTCCACAGAAAGCTGATCCCAAGGGTCTGGAAGCTACTGCCGATGTTGACTCTGGGGGGCTAGAGGATAAGCGAAGCGAGAGAGCTAGCAGAACTACTGCCGTGTAGGATCGAGGCGAATGAAGAGCTGCACATTTGAGCGCAATCGTAGTAGCGATCTATGGGAGTGGTGGACTCAATAATTGTTGAAGACATACCGCCATTGCTGGTTGCGTTCCGCCGACAAGAAAACTAAGGGCGAGCGTCATTGAAGGGAAAAGACGAGATAATGTTCCCCGTATCCGGGCGTGTTGGCATCGGAATCCACAATCAGTACTCAACGAAAGAACAGATTGTAGTCTATTCGACATATAGCTTCTGTGACGGACGATATTGAGCCAGAATGAGGTTGGCCGACACACTTAACCAACCTCATGGCGTAAAGACTTACCGGAAACTCTACTACACTGAACAAGCGCAGCTTTACGACCTCATCCTCGGCCTGTATCTTTGCCGTTTCAGTAGGGAGATATCTTTTAATAGGTAAAATCGCCGCCGAGTTATATCAACGCCAGTGTAAACCTTTATTGGGCCTCCTCTCTCAACACACCCACGCAGGTAGTACTTCTGTTACAGGTACACTTCACGCGACTGAGGGGTTGAAGTAAGGAATGGTCACAACCCCGATTTGATGAAGAATAAAGTTGAATTCTGAAGAATGAACAGCCATTAGAAGGTGAATGTTGGCTTGCAAAAACGCTGAGCAATGACTACCTCCTCGAATATGCCAACTCCTAAGGCTGTCACTCATTTGCAAGTTCTCGCGATAACGGAAATGATACTTCATTCTTATCCAATGCTATAATGTTCTGTATTGAACTTGAAATTTGGCAATCTAACCAACAGTGAGGGATACACACATTTGGGAAGACGTGTTGAAAGGAAGGGCCTATCTGCAATGAGCAGCGAGCAGCAAGCTTCCATGGACTGATCGCTTGGGGCTCGCCATTGGCTGCTCTCCTTGGAAGTGATATGGAGACGCCGCGACGAAGAAAGTTGGAGTCTGGGACAGGAAAATAAATCTGCATGCCCACCGTTCGTACAGATCTGTAATTGGATTCACGCCCGAGTCTTCGATCATGACGTATTCGACTTCAAGAACTTCCCACTTCTTGCTCAGACTGTTAGCGATTCCTTTGAATCTCGATGGACTACTCGCCTTTGATGGCAGCACGGCATGCTTCGTCCACACGGCCCGAAATAACGAGCAACCGGCCCTGCTCCCGATCTGCCTCTTCGGCACGGACGGGCAAGGAATATTGTCTCCTCGCTGCCATGTACAGCAGTAGGGCTTCCCAGGGATAGATGAGAACCTGCAGAACTTTCTGGTAAGAACCTATCTCCTGTTTCAAGCCCAAGCCATCTTCTACTTCAACGACAACAAAGGCCAACAGCTCAAGAGCTGGAAACGGTGAGACCGCGATGAGCAAGGCAGTTTTAGCCGGAGGTCTCGCTGCATGCACGGCAAGCACGTCTCTGTGGCTTGAAAGACATTGAACGATGTTACATGATCGTGACCATGTTGGTTACAACTCTCACGTTCATAGGGACGGGCAAGGATAGCCACGAGGGAACCAACTTCTTCAAAGGTTAGATCTTGAATCTGCCTTGTTGCCACGTGGTGCAAGGACTGCTGCGTGCAAGAGTGAACAACGTTGGCAACGCCGCTTTGAATCTGGGTAGCTCCTATTCTGCAGCAAGGGATGGTCATCTGCTTGATGTTAGTGTTACCCAAGAAGGCTTAGCTGCAGTGTAATGATATCCCGAACAGGCTTGCAGGCTGATTGGCTGGAGGAGCGAATTATGTTACTGGAGATGGAAGAGAATTTGGAAGACTTCATGAGCTTCAAAGGTACTCCGACTGTCTGCTTTGTAATTGCGAGTTTTGTCAGTATGAGCTTTGTTAGTGTGAGCTTTGTTGACTCTCACTTTGTCTATTCCTTTCGCTTAGACTCATTATGTAATCGCAAAGGCCGACATCTAGGGCGGGCTGGAAGGGTAGATGCGGAAGCCGGTGGGCTGGTGGTGTGGAAAATATCAATTCTGTTAAGAATTGAAATAAGCGATTTTTCCGCATGACCGCCTTTTCAACTGGTACTTCCTCGCTCCAGTACGTGTCCTGTCTTCGTCTCACGACATTCCCTAGAGTCGGTGACTGACTCTCCATAGATGGCGCAATGGTAGCGCGCGAGACTTCTATCTTGAACACTCAAGTTTGCTATCTCGAGGCTGTGGGTTCGAGTCCCACTTGGAGTGCATCTTGAATAGTTCTTGCCAATCAAGAGGAGAAAAAGACTCCTCCCATTTTGGGCAGCCGGTCGGGAGTTTGTTTTTGTGTCTGCAGAGGATTTTTTTAAGGTGTATCTGTACTAATTCTCGCTTACGAAGTTTTGGCGACCCCACTCTACGGTACTGTAGCCAAAACCGCTCGCTCTCCAGCCAGACAGACAAAGACATTTTGGCACTACCAAACCTCTGTCTCAACATCACCTCTTCATCACCCCCCTCTCCTTCATTAACCTCGACTAGTCTGTTTTGAGGCATTGTGCCACGGACGTAATCCAACTTTTTCCTTTCCTTTACTTTCATAGGCTCAACTTCATGCAGGGCGTTTTGGTGGTGCCCGTGGACAGTTGCGCCACATCATCATTTTGGAGAGCGCGCTGCAACAGCCTGGCCTCCTCCTTTTTTACGTGTCTGGTCCAGCTGTGGTGACACAAACGAGGCCCCTGCTCCCAAATTCGCAACTCCACCAATACCATGCCAGGACGACCCCGGCTTCAGATGCCAGATGGCAGATGCTAGATGCAATCTAGATCCGGGAGCTTAATCTTCAGGAGATGGGTACACACCTCTGGTCCAATCTGTGAAGCACTCCGAGCTATTGGGCTTCATCCTGGCCGAGCTGATTGGAAGTAAGTATTTGGTTTTTATATGTACGGAGCTAAAGCAGCTGGACGGAGGCTTGCACGCAACCAGAAAGGGCTATATTGGCAGAGTATCAAGTCTCAAACATGCATGTCCCTTTGACAGCTGCAGCCAGCCTTCATGAAGATCTTGTTCTTTGAGACCAGGGCTAGATCAAACACCAAACGGAGGGTTCTCTGCAATGCTAAGGGAACTACAAGCCTGCCACATTAGAGCAGCGGGATATTCGCTCCCCAGATCGAATTGCTACCAATGCATTGCAAGCATGCACATGTCTAAGATTAGCTTGAGCTTGCATTCCACCTCCTTTCAAGCTCCCGTCACGTTTGGAGGGTTCCGGGGATTTCGCTCAGCGCCCAATAGCTGCCGGTAGTTGAGCTTCGGCTTAGCATGGAGAAGTGGTTTTGTTGTTCGGCCGTTAGAGGCATGATATCTCCCCGATTGCCTCCTTCCCTACATAGTAGTGCTCGAGAGCCCAGAACTCTTCAACTGAATTAAAAGACGTCAAATACAGCGAGATTCTCTCCCGGCTTTCGAAATCCCTCTGCCCATATGCGTCAAGTAATGAGCAATCCTACAAGCATCTTTCACTCCCAAGTCGAACTTGACTTCAAGAAAAGTTATTCCGCTCTCCTTCCTTTCGGGTTGTATCTACAATCTCGGACATTCCTGGCTTGCCTTCCCTCTGTACGTCAACTTTCCGAGACGGCACGTGCCGGTGTTACTCAAACTGACTCCTTCTCTACAGTCTCCAGGATGGCTTCCTTGAGAGAAGTAATCTTTCAGTTAACCGCAATTGTGAGCAACCCTACGCAATTGGATGCCCCGCTGCAGTGGCCGATCCCAGGACTCCGCAGCTGCTTGAAGCATTGTTCCTTTAGCAGACTTGAGAACTGGCACAGGAGAGTGCACAGAGAATACGACAATCAGATTGCCCACGACCTAACTTTCTACGAGGTTCAAGACGAGGTTTGGGAATGTTTGTTACGAGCATCAGAGAAATCCCATCAGCTAAGACTATGGACGAAGTGTAAATTGCCATCAAAGATTCGATTCGATTTCGTCAGCTACCGCCATCTTGTTTCGCAAGCTCTCGCGGATATTCTCGAAGCGTTCGAGCACTTCTCAGCAATGGATGGGAGACCATTGGGCATCGTTTTCGAGTACATCAAGAAATGCTACGAATTCATGATCAATCTGGGCAGTATGTTGTTCCCTCAAGGGGACGGTGACAACTGGTACGCCCAACACAAGGACTATCTAGTCATTACAAACTTGGACGGGTTTGCTCTCAATGGTACCGTGGTCATGGAGGTGGCTGCTGATCCTAATTTCGCCGCTTCGGTTCTCGACCCTGCAACGATGCCGGCAACTTGTTTGCCATTGCATCCACAGCCACCCATTGTGACTACGACCAAAGGTCCATACGGACCGCGACTCAGCGGGAATCTGTACTGGAAGCAATAGATGGTGAGATGTCTTATCTATCCAAGAATGATCTCAAAGTTCTGACCTAGCAGATGGCCTGATTTTCACTACTGCCGTGATGTGGACTCCAGAGAGTCTCATGTCGACGGAAACATCCATACCTTCCAACAGACCTACCTGCATCGTCATCTCGAACCACTCAATAATGCATTTCGAATCTCGAACGAGAAGAACACTTAGCTATATCGAGGGAAATTCGTGTGTCCCAGGTAATACTCCCTGGATGGAGTCGCCAAAAACATTTATAATATCGGAGCCACCACTGAAGGGTCTATGGCAACATGCATTCAAAAATCTAGATCTACCACTCCATTCACATCAGCTTCCTTCCAACAATTATCTACATTCCGATGGAATTTGGGACGAGCCGTCTCCGCCTGGGGACTGCAATCCCAAGGACTGGCTGAATCAATTCCTGGCTGTCATGTTCGATCCATATTGAAGAAACATTTCCAAATGATCTATTAGGGTAATGCAGCCAGTTCAGCCCCTAAACCACCGCGGCATGCATCGCTTAACACGGCGCTGGCGTAGCACCACCAGTCGTTGACCCTGCACTGTGCAGTACGCAGGCGTTGAATTCATGTCTAGAACTTGCCGAATGTCCACATCCCGAAGGAATACTTTCATCAGCTCTCAGCTTACCAGTCTGATCACGTTTTCAAGATCTGTCAATTTCAGCAGATCGATCTTTCGAGAAAATTCACACCACGCCAATCTGTTCAGCATGCAAGATACTTCGCATTTGGCAACCCTCACAGAGCAAGCATGCATTGTCAAGCACTCGCACCACTGACATCGCAATGTCAACGCCACTATCACATTGTCGCTGCCTTGCATCGCTGCTTATACTTCCTTCGCATGGTTGATGCACCCTCATTCATCCCATCCCTCCACCTCGTTAATATATTCCCCAAGCGACCATATCGTCACACAGCCCTCGTCGACTCCGCACTCACGCCTACCAGGGAAAGACACAGAGATCTCGCATGCTTGCATATCCATTTCTCTCAGTATCGAGAGAGGATTCCGGAGGTGGCTGTCATCGGTTTGCCGTTTCGAGTTTCTACCGGCTAAAGCGGTAACTGCGCTCCGGCGGACTGTGGTTGGTTTCCAGCACCGTGGAAAGCCACTTGTGATGGGGTTCCCGCATGGGTTGCAGTGTGGTGACAGGAACCTGGTTAGCTGGCCACAGGGTATGATTGAAATGAAGAGAGCTCTCAGGGCTGAATTCGCATACACGCTGTACCAAAGAATCAATTTCATGGTTGATGAGAGCCCTACCTACCATATGGTATGCAGAAGAGGGCACAATAGCTGGAGTTAATTGCTTGTACATGTATCAGTAAACAATATTTCTCTTCGAGGCCAATGTTTTCTAGAGACATTGATAGAAATTGAAGCATCGGTCGACATGCGCTCCCGTGTGATTGCTTCTGATTATGGTGCGTTTGCAGAATAATTCACCTCCCCTGCCTTCAACTGAAGGATTCTTCCCCTTCTCTGCCACTGTCAGCCACATCCAAACCCATAAAGTCGCTTCAACGCTTCTCGCAAATGTCCCCACAACCCTCATGTTTCTACCGATATATCTCGCATCAAGTCCATATTATAGCTAGGTACTTTCTCTACTGGCTGGCGTATTTTCGCGAAAGCCTCCAAGCTGGCACCTTGAAAGTGCATATCTTACCAATCCTTCAACACTTCATATTTCCGCGCCGACATGTTCTTAATCCCGGCACAAAGCTGGTCGATCTATCAAAAGCCTGCAGGATTTCAAGATCGACTAGTTTTCAGACCCCTACGTATGTCTCGGGCAACTTATGGCAAACCGAATCCAGACCCGATCCTCTATGTCCTTCTTCCAACAGCGGCCCGGAAGCCTCCAACTTTCAAGACAGGACTCGGACGACAATAGCAATATTGATGCAATGATCGCCTCCAGCTCAACATTGAGTCGGTCTTCATGCTCGACTGCATATCGCATTGACCTCGAAGAGCGTCTTCCGGGACGGTCCCGAACAGCTGCCGGGCTCGTTACGGAATACGGGAACGAGACCTTCTCAGGAATTCCCAACCAAGTCCCAATCCCGAGCACTCCATACGCACAGGGCCTAGATCAACCTGTTGTATCGAGAACTGATAGGTCGAAGCTCAAAGTCGGGCAGATTATATCACTTAACAGAAGGATGAACGTCAAAACACAGCCATCAATGCAGATATCGAATTGAGTTCAGCTAGCCCGGGAACCTCTTGCAGGTCAGAACAGTTCGTGTTGTCTGAGTTACAGAGAAGTGCAAGATTCAATATTACTATACGCTTTGAGAACTCCAGAATGCATTGCTAACATGTAAAAATGCTAGTATCAAAAATCAAGCTGCCTGAATGGGGGTACAACAAGCTGACAACACAGCAGCAGTATCGAGACTCGACCGAAAGTACCCTCATCTTTCTTCCCGTGTCTCAAAGATCGCAAACAGCGGAGCGGGATGATCATTCATTCCCTGCGGCATTACGGTTACTGTAGATCACCGTCTTCGAAGCTGGAAAATGTTAATAGAGCAAAGAAGGCGATTTTGATTGAGGGATACTTACAGGCTGAACTGTCACAGTACTGGTCACAGTAGTTCTTGATGTCAGGGTCGTTGTTCTGCTCTGTCATTAGCTCATTTTTTTCCTTTCAGCCGTAGGAAAGGCACTCACGGCTCCGCAGAACCCCCTACCAAACTCAACGTCTTGGTAATTGTCGAAGCATCGCCAGTAACTGTACCAGCGTCGACTATACTCTGACTGATGGTAGACACGGCGGTTGAAGTGGTGGCATTAGGAGACACATTG